ATATTTGCTAGAGATTCTCTCTTATTATTTTAAAATATTTAAGTAACGTACTTATATCTTTTCTATGTATATAGTACTGTTTAAGGTTATATCATTTTTAAAGTTATTCACCTAATTACTAGACTCTTTAAACTTATTCTTCTTTAATAAATAAGCAAAACTTAAGGCTTTGGTTAAAAAATATTATCAGTAATAATAAGACTAGCTTTGAGTGCATTATTTATTTAAATTGTTAATATTTTTTTGATGAAAGAAATAAAGTTTTTTATCATGTTTCAAATTAACTTAGTATGAATTAGTATTTACAGAAAGCCAATGGTCTTCTTCTTTTAAAATATCACTTACCATACCTTCACTAACTTCATATTTATCTTTTTATTTTAAAAAAGATAATGATATTTTTTTAAACAGTTTTTTTTTGTACAACTATAAGAAATTTTCATTTTTTTTAAAGGTTTATCTTATTTATTAGTAGATTTATTAAGTTGTTTCTTTGAGTTTACTTTTGATATTATGCAAAGAAAAAAAAAGTAAAAAATAAAACATGTAAAAAAAAATCATAAAACATAAGACACAAAGTATAATATAAATATTTATTCATTGTTAATTTTATTAAAAACTAATACAGAAAACTACAAAATTATATATATATAAATCTAGTAAATTTATTTTAAGCAAAATTTTATTGTATCAAAAAAAATGTTATAAAACAATTCATTATAAATAGTGTCATTATATATATATATATTTTAACTTTAATTTATTAAACATAATATGAATTTTAATTAACAAATTCAATATAGTAAGGTTTTTTTATATTTAAAAATCTATCTAATACTAAAAATCTATTGTATTATAAAATTTATAATATCAAAATTCACTGTAAAAGAATTAATTGTATATATAATTTTAACCTTAAAATTTTAGCTTTCATCTAACTTTCTTAAAAGCAAAGATTTCTGGATTTTTTTTATCTAAATATAAAGAAAAAAATGAACAATATATTAATACAAAAAAATTAGATTAGTTTTTAAAATATTATTGAATTTTTTTATTATTTTAAATCAATTAAAATAAAATATTATACAATATAAAAAAGATCAATATTTGATTTTATCATCACATAATATAACGAATATTCATTATGTTATATCTGGATCTACTAAATAAATATTATATTATAATTGATCATAATTTTTGTGATATTATTTAGTATAGTTAATTAACTAATTTGAATGTTTAGACACTCTAATAATTTCTATTATCTAGTTTAGTTTAATAATAATTATTAAAAATACTTTAAATATTTATATAAATAATTATTTTTTTAAATATAACTTTATTTAATTTTCTTTATAAAAAAGATTTTAGAGCTTATAAAATAATAATAATTAATAATATAAATTTTCTTTAATGTTTTAAAAAAAAGAAAAAAAAATTTAAAGTAGAATCATTTAATTGATATGATAATAAAGAATGTATTAATTTTATTATAAATTGATAAAAAATAATAACAAAATTAATAATAATATATATTATTGTATTATTAATAAAAAAAATAAAAAAAATCATAAAATTATATAAATAAATATTAATAAATAAAGTTAAATTTATATTTGAAAATGAAGTTTAAAAATTTTTTTATTTTATTGATAATTAATTAATATAATCATAATATAAAGGGAGTAAACATTATAAATTAATTTAAAAACTATAATTTATATTGAATAATCTTTTTATCATTTGATTAAATTAGTAATTTTGATTATTCTAATTGAATAATATTTTATATAATGATTTTACATATAAGTTTATAAAATAATCATATAATATAAAAATTTTTTAAATTATTAAGAAATCTAAATAAATAAATAAAATTTAAATTTAGATAAATTTACTTATAAATCAGATTTTAATAAATTATGAAATAATTAGTAATAAATAAAAATTATATGATTATAACTAATTATAATATTATTAAATTAAGTTATAACTAATTGTAATTAATGATAAATAAATATTATAAAATTATAACTAGTTGTTATACTATTTTTAGATACAATTTTTTAAATCAAATAATTTTATAAATAAAATTAATTAACAAACAATAAAATATTTATAATTTAATTTTAATATTTTTATAATAAAAAATATATTCTTTTTTAATAAATGCTTTATAAATATTAAATTTATTTATATATAATTATTTTTTATTTTTTCTATATAATTACTTCTTTTATAATTATATTTTCTCTTTAATATATTAATATAAAGTTACAAATTTTTAAATATAAATAACTTTTATATAACTATATATTATTATATTATATAAAGTCAAATATAATATTTATTAAAAGTTTTTTATTTTATATAATCATATTATATAATATTTAAAATTATAAAATAAATTAAATAAGTGATAGACATATTTTTTATAAAATTTTAATATATATTTTATAACTTAAAAAAATAAAATAACTATTAATACAAATATAAATAAAAAATCTGTAAATATATATAAGTAATTTTTATATAATTTAAATAAATATCATATTATTTTTAATAAAAAAATAATTACTTAAATATTAATTAAAAAATAACTATTATTAAAATATAGTAAAAATAAAAAAATTGAGTAAAGCAGTATATAAAATTTAAATTAAAAATTATGTATATTAATTGATAAATTTATTATTAAAATAAGAAAATTTTATTAGTTTCTTCTGTAAATTTGCTTTTTTTTATCTATTTTTAGTAATAATTTGTGTATATTTTATATTATATAATATATGCACACTAAAAAATAATATGTATATATGTATATTATATACATAGATAAAGCAAATTCTCAAAGTTTACAAATATATAAATAACATTTAATTCAATTTTTAATACTTAATAAATTTAGATTTTATAAACAATAATAGTATAATTAGAATTTTATTAAATAATATAATATTATAATAAAAAGGTTTGAAGTCTATAAAGAAATTTAAATAATAAAAATAGTAAAATGTGTTAATAAATAATTTTATAATTTAAAATAAGAAAATAAATTTAAAAAAATTTTTCTAAAAAAATAATAATAAATCATTTAATATTATTATAAAAATAATAAAATGTATTTTTTTTATATAGAACTTTAAGTATAATTAAGTTAAATTTGAAAATATATAAATAAATATGTAAACAAAAACTTTAAGAACATTTTATTTAAATGAATATTTTCTCATAAATTAATAAAAATTTTAATTTATTAAGCAATCAAAATAAATTTATTTAAATTAAGAATACAATATAAAAAATTTTATATTTTGGAGAAAATAAACTTATTGATAAAGAATTCACTTAAAATTATCTATTAAAATTCTAAAAAATTAAAGTTACTAAAAATATTAAATATAAAATAATAGTAAATATATTAAAAAATAATATTAAATATATTCTAGATAATTAGATAATATTTTTAAAAGAACTTTAATTTCATTTTTATTAGATTTGTTGTTACTAAATTAGAAGGTTAATAATTTTAAGATAATTTTAAATATTAAAATATATTTTTTCTTTATATACTAATGCTAACTAGTTTATAAATAAAAACATGTAAATGAGCTTAAAAATATAAAAATAATAATTAAAAAAAATCCTATTTAGTAATAAAATAGCTTTTTGAATATTTTGTAATACAATAAAACATTAGTATAAAAATATAAGGCTAGTTTATTAAATGCAAAAAATTGAAATAAATATTTATTTAAGATAGTTTTATATAAAGAATACCATTAGCATTTTTTTGTTTTAGATGTATAATAGATAGAAATTCTATATAATATTAGAAAGCAACTTCTATAAATAATATATTATAAGGTAGATGATGGTTGTAACAGGATTATAATTCTAAGTATACTAGTATTATTGCTAAGAAATTCCTTAATATTAATATTTAGAAGGTTATAAATTAACCTTCTAATAGTTTAGAACTAAATTCTATTAAAAACCTTTAGATAATTATTAAAAGAAATGTAAAATTGAATAGGTCAAAAAACTTTAGTGAATTAGAGTTTTTTTTAAAAAAGAAGTGAGAAAATATTTCAAATAGTTTTCTAAACTTCAATATCAAAGCGTTATAAAAAGGTAAAATAATAAATAAATATCATATTAATTGTTTGTAATAAAATCTATTATATCTTAACTTTAAAATAACTTATTGTATATTTTAATTGATACTTTAGTTATGTAACTATCTCAATTTTTAAAAATTGTTATTTTTTTGCACACCATTGTAAATAAAATCTAAATAATTATAATTATAATAACATATGATTATATATAATATATTCAGAAAATAATCTTAAAGCAATTTTTTATGTTGTTTAAAACTTTATTATGATACTTTTATATTACATTCTACATAACCTAAAATATGGTCGGCTATGCACATGTGACTTTGCCCAGAACCTTTGAAGTCTAAAATAATTAATTTATTATGTATCGTAATTTGCAACTTATGTATAATGTTTGACCTTGATTTTCTAATTTAGAAGAATATTATACATAATTCAAAAATATCGAATTTGCCTTAATTGTAAAGTTCGTTCAACCGTATGCTATGTCTCCCGAATAAAATTATAGCTTTATCTTGCTATAAATTATATCAAGTAAAAAAATAATACAAAATTTACAGCTTTATCTCACTAATTGTATCAAAAAAATTATACAAATTTTACAGTTTTATTTTTTTAAAAAATTAATGATATATGATCGCAAAATGATCGACGTAGTTTTCATATAATTTAATCATCCTAATATTCATCGGAAGAGTCCGCAAAAGAAAAACTTTAAAAAGAAATAATTTACTATATTTATACTTCTATTATGAAAAATATTTGGAACGTGCTCATAGTACAAAAAAGAATTGAATAAAATGTAACCATGCAATATATAATAAAGATTACTATTATTGGAAAGTTGCTTATTAATCCTTTAAAGTCTAAAACGCATTAATCAATGCTTAATCTTCTAGAGATACGATTATGATGAGCAACTTCAGCAATTTTACTAGCTCTTTTTGATTTTCTTTGTGAATCATCAACAGTACCACCACTATATCCGTCATAACCAAGATATTCACTATTAAAGTTATTGCCTGGTTGAATTCCTGATACTTGTTGTTCTTCACGACTAGGTAAGCCATAAACACTAAATACATAAATACCACGCATCATATTTCTAAAACTCACCAAAGCATAATAAATCGTACCAATCACTAAACAAATAGTTGTGGTCAAAGAGAAACTTAAAAGACGTCTAGTATATAAATAAGGATCATTTTCACGATTATTTGGTAAATTAATGGTGATTAAACGATAAACCATATAAACTACTGAAAGCATTAATAAATTTACAACAGAGAGTAAAATATATTTGCTTTCTTTTGTGACAGAATACCATGCCATTAATAACATTATTGTCCCGATTAAAAAAATCAATACGGTTTCAATAATTTTTCCACTATATCCAATACTACGTGAAGGTATAAGTTGTATAGCATATGATCCAATGAAAAATACGTCCAACTTGATTAATGTTTGTAATATCGACAATGATACGAAAGCGTTACGAACTTGTACATCAGCGGAATATGTTTTATAATTTTCCCATCCAAACTGTTTCGACAATTTATATACTAATCCTGCTAAATATAATGAAAAGAGTCCAACTATGCCAATTATTACATATTCTAATGGTCTCATCCTGGATTTAAAATAGCGTTTGGCGTCGTCTCGTGTTGGATATTTTTGAATATCTTTTGGCACAAAATCTGCTTTATCGGTTCCTTCATCTTCTAATATAATGTGTTGATAAAGTTGTACTCCAGCATAAGCTAATGAGAGAAGGTTAAATATAACCAAAGCTATTAATTGAATTGTGTTTTTTCTCCATAACGCATCGATACATAATAATATTTGAAAGACGAGTGATAAGATAAATCTATTTGTAGATAGAAAAGAAAATTTAATTCACGCATCGAAAAAAAAAGGAGGATCTTTTATCCTGTAACTTACATCGAATGATAGATTAAATCAGCTTCAGATATACCTTTCCCTTGAGGGTCAAGTTTAAATTGGCCAACGAAATCATGATGAAAAACAATCACCATTATTTCTAATAATGTCAACGTTATTGCATATAATATTACAGATATTAATGTGATTTTCCCTAGAGTGGATAATTTTGTCATGATGAAAAAAATTTTTTTTTTTGATGAAAAAAAAAAAATAAATATTTTTTTTTACTGAAATGCCAAGTTTATGTATATTTATATTAATAAATTAGTATTGCTTTATTTGGTTTAGGTGATGGCTGTGAATTCCTTATTGATAATTTCATCACGTTTCGTCACAAGTGCTTCCTTTTACACCTTTACCCGGCTAAATAAAATGAATTTATTTAAATTTAGATATTCGGGTTACATACACTATTATTCCAAATTTATAGGATCTACTGATTGCGTTATTATAATAATAGTATTCAACCATTATTAGTAATAACAATAAATGAATAAAAAACTAATAAATTAAGTAAAAAAATAACAACTTTTCTTTGAATAAAGAAATAACAAGTATTAAAAAAATTTAATTAATATATTATAGAATAAATAAACAATAATTTGAATTTAACCCATAAAGAGAAGGAACTTAAAAAAAAATTTCAATTCTATTGTAGATCATGATGCTTGTCAATCATTGCCCTAACTTGTTTGGTTTTTGAATTTAACCAAGTTATACCCATCATTAATTGTAGATAACAAAATCTACCATTTAATTATAAGAGTAAATTTATTCATCGCAGACGCGATATCATCGCCTCCTTTTTGTCACCCGTGTAATGTCACATCCCTCTCTCTTTTTTCATTTTTCATATATATTCTGGGAACTAGAATTTTTTTTCATGTGTGAACCCTATTTGCATTGGTTAGTGTCACATGGTTTAAAGGTTAGGGTTAGGGTTAGGGTTGGTGTGTATATATATAAGCGATGTATAAGAAGTACCCCCGCGATGAATAAATTTACTCTAATTATAATAATACTTTTATAAGTAAATTTTGAAATTAAAAAAAATATTAATAAAATCTTTTTTACTTAAGATAATTGATATTTAATAAAAATTATTTTATATTAATTTATAATTATTATATTTTTTAATTTTCTTTATAATTTAATTGGATATTTTTTTAAAGGTACAAAATTATATATTAATTATCAATTAAATTATTATATTAATTTTTAACATTATAAATACTTTATTAATAAATTATAATAAAATTTAAATAAGTAAATATAAAATTTATTATTTCTTGTAGATTTATTATTATATTTTTAATATAAAATATTTTACTGTAATAGTAATTATTATTGTAAGTAAATTATTTATATATAAATTATGTATAAAAAATAAAAATTAATAAATATATGTACTTTTAATCTTTAATATTTATAAAATAATTAAATTATATATTTAATCTAACTTTTATGAATTAAATATTATATATACAAATAATTATATATACTAATAAAATTTTCATATTTTATTTTACAATTAATAAAAAATTTTATTATATTAATATTATATATTATTTTATAATATAAAATGTATTAATACTTTTTTTATCTTATTATAATTAATATAGTAAAATGAATTGATATTTTAAGTTATAAAAATATGATATTTTTAAATAATATTAATTTAATATCAGATTGAATTAGTAATAATATTACAATTATATTTTAGCAATAATCAAATTTATATAATAAATCTCTCTTTACTATATTTTTTTAATTAGCTTTTTAATTTAATATAAGTTTTACTTTATATCAATAATACTATATAATTAATAAAATATTATTTTGATATTATTTTAATATTAAAATAATAACAATATAAGAAACTTAAATATTAATATAATTAAAATTTAATTAATAAAATATTAAATCTTTTATAGAAATAATATAATAATTATTGGTAAAGTATTGATAAAATATTAAAAATAAATACAAATATTATTTTATTATATATATTTAATATTATTTAATTATAAATTTAATAAATTTAATATTTTATTTTAAATAACTTTTAAAAAAAATTTGGATTATTTATTGATAAAAAAGAAAAACAAAATATTGAAATATTACTTTATGATTAATAATATTAAATAAATTAAAATTATATTATAGTTAATTATATTATTATAATAATATAAGTTTAATATTTTATTCTAATTATTTATATAAAAGGTTTAAATATTTTTGTATAAAAAATTATATATTAGATTTTAAAATTATAAAGAAAATATTTATAATTGTATAAAAAATATATTCAAATTGTAATATATTAGAGAACTTTTAATATATTTTTAATATAAAAGCAATTTTTTTAAAATTTTATTACTAATTTACATCTAATAAATAAAAATTAATATAGTATAATATAAGATACTATAATGTAAATTACTGTTAATTTTAACATTTTATGTTAAATCAAAAACTTTAATTATTTATTATTAAAAATATTTATTAAATTATGTTATATAAAACAGACTATAATAAAACCAAACAAAGTAAACATTGGTATTACCAAAGATTTCAGAGATCAAAATTTAGTTATTTGTAATATGATTATTCCATTTGTGATATATAGAATTATCCCTATATAAAAATAATAATATGAAACTCATTTACATCAAGTCTACTATAAAACTAAAGAATTACAGCATCATTAGAAGTATTCTAAAAAAGAAACAAGATGAAAAAATTGCTTCTTATATTTTTAAAATAAATGATACTTAAACACTAGAAACTTATCTAAGAAAAGAAGAAATTACTTATGAAATTTACCATAAAGAAAAAAAAATAATAAATGTTGAAAAAGAAAGTATCATGATGATGCATTATTACCTATTAAAAAGTAAAAATCTTTAAAAGGAAAATAAATACTATTTTCTTTGATAATTTCAATTTATACAGAGAAAAATAACTTTAAATTACTTTCTTATTTTCAATCAAAATCATTTTTTAGTTTTTTTAACTTCAATTTAAGCAGTTAGTTGAGTCTACTATTTCTTTTTCTATTTAACTTCCCTTTTAAGTCTTTGAATTTTATTTAATTCTTGTTTCTGCTTATTATGCCAATTTTTTGAAACTTCTAAAACTTCTAAATGAGAATTGATTTCTTCCATAATATTGGATAATTGCTGTTTTAATCTGCCAACATAATTCTGTGCCATTATTTCTATTATGGTTGGAGTTTTGACTGGTTCTTTTTTCCTTAAATCACAAAAACAATCTATTCTGTTTTTCATAATTCTACCAAAATTATTACAATATAGCAAAGTATCATCATTAAGAGCTTTTTTACACTCAACACAAATATAAGCAATGTTATTGTAATCATTATTGCTTGTATTGTAAAATACTATTTTGTAAATAGCAGTTAAACTCCTTTTTCTTTCAAAAGAACAAAAATTACAATGCTATTTATCTCCTCTTCTTAACTCATTAACTTGATATTCTAATTTTATGCTATTTATTCTTTTGCAAGATATAGATTTCAAATTTTTCTTGAGTTATTGCTTTTACTTGACTAACTTTATTATTTACTTTGTTAATTAGAAACCTAAATTTTCCTTCTTTTTTTGATAAAGATGATAATTCTTAAAGTTGCTTACTAGATAAATATCTCTGTTATGTTACAATTTTTCTAATATTTCTATTTTTCTAAAAGTTTTTTTTAAGTTGTCATCTTTTTCTTTGCTTTATCTTATTCTTCACTATTTAATCACTTCAAGAGCTTCTAAATGGTAGTCAGATGTTTTCTCCTCTAATTCTAATGCTTCTTCTAATTGTTAAACTTCCTCTGCTTGACTTTTTAATTCCTCTTTATAATCTCTCTTTTGTTGATTTAAATGACTATTTAAATTTCTTATTCTAGAATAGCTTCTAGCATAACTACCATCTAATTCATTTGAATAATCAATAAACTCTTCTAATATTTCTTTAATTATAATATTATCAAATCAAACTCTTTTATAGTTTTTGGCTCATTCTCTAGTTTCATTATGATCTACTGCTATTCTTAGTTTATCTTTATCCATTCACTTTTTATTTAGTTTCTTATATTATCATGTTCCCTTAGAAGCATACATACTAATTTCACCCTTTTTATCAAGAGACTGATCAATAATGTATCAGATTTTTAGTTTAAGATTTTCTTTTTTATCTGCTAATTGCTTCTTTAAATTTTCATTTTCTTCTAATAGTTCTTTATTTACTTTTTTTGTGCTTCTATGATGTTTATCATAGTTTTACTTTTTTTTTTTATTCTTTTAATATATTTATATTCTTTTTATGAGAGTATATTAAGTATATAAATTATTTTAGTACTTTTTACTTTAAAGCTAACAATATTTGTTAAAAGATTAAATTTAATGACAGTAAAGGGTAGAGTTCCGGACGAGTCGAGTCAACTCACGAGTCAGATAAACTGAGTCGAGTTTAAATTGAGTCGAGTTTATGTTTTTTTGACTCGATGATTTGTGAGTCAAGTCAAATTCAAGTCGAGTTAAATATTTAACTCGACTCGATTTAAACTCGACTTGATTCGAGTTGACTCGA